CTGTCCCCAGGTGCCCCCAGGTCAGCTGCTGCTGAAACTGATCAGCGGCTAATTCCAGGAAGCCCGGGGCAAAGCAGTTCTGCCTCGGGCTTCCTGTAGTCAGCCGCTGGTCAGTTTCAGCAGCGGCTGAATCGGGGACACCTGGGGTACAATATGTACCAGTTCCGACTTACATACAAATTCAACTTAAGAACAAACCTACAGTCCCTATCTTGTACGTAACCCGGGGATTGCCTGTACTTATCCTATCCTCTAAAGTGCCAGCAACCTCTCCTAGCATTGTATCCCCATGCTTTCCCCTCCATTATCCTGGTCATTGATGAAAACATTGAAGACATATTGGACTCAAGACTGACTCCTAAAGAGCCACACCAGAAACACATCCTCACAGTCCTTTGTTCCAGCATCTTTCCATGTACCAAAGTTAGTCTGAATGGCTGACAGCGAACCACAGATAGCTGCTCTGAGTTAGGGATGTAATATTAGTCTTGAATGCTTAGCAGATAATCTTTTAGCCAGGCAGCTGTACCAGGCAAGAGCTACCAAAGCAGTATTGGGCAGGCCAGCTGGATCCTGGCTGTGTTGACTTGGTGGGCAGGGCTGCACCAGAGCTGCATGGATGGGACCCCTGTCTTGGTTGCCCTGCACAAGACCACCAATGGCTAAACAATATAATTTAAATCATTCAACCCGTTTACTATTTTTACAGATATTTACATGCCTACTCTGAGTAACATATTGCAACCAGCTGTATGCCCACTAGGGATGTGAAGGACTAGTTGACTGGCAAGCAAATGTGGCAGTTCCGCTTGAAGCGTGGGGACAGACCGTGGGCTGCACATGGCTTGAAGCCTGGGGACAGACCCTGGGCTCCACATGGTGCTACCACTTTAAAAAGCTGCGTGCAGCCCGAGGCGTGCAGCATTTCAAAGCAGCAGTGCGCGTGGCTCTCAGGATCAGCTGGGGAGTCCCCAGCTGACCCTGGGCTCTAGATGTGCTTTCATCTTTGAAGTGTAGCAACAGTCCTAGGGCTGTTGCTACACTTCAAAGGCACAGGCGCCCTATCAAATAGTCGATGCAAAATGCATCGACTATTCAATTAGTCAATTTCCCAGTACTTAATATCCTTAGCATCCACTTTATAGTAATTTCATTTAGACCACATTTTCCTAGTTTACAAGACTATTATGTGGGAACTGTGTCAAAAACACTGCAAACATCAAGTCAGTTTCAAAGGGCGGCGCTACAGGACCAACCAGGCAGCACCCCAGGTGCTCTGTCCTGGGCTTCCCGGAGTCAGCCACTGGTCAGTTTCAGCAGCGGCTGACTTGGGGAAGTCTGGGGGCAGAGCAGCTCCAATTGTCCGGAGCAATTCCAGGTTCCAGATGGTGCCGGACCATCAGAAGTGCCAGACCATTGGAGTTTTACTGTACTATGAATTTCATCAAGTCCCAGCAACTTGATCCATTTACATTTATCTAGATATTCTTTAACCCGTTCTCTCTACATATTGGCTTGCATTAATATTAATTCTGTTTAGTATGTGTTCATCATTAACTTTTTTAGTGAAGACTGAAGCATAAAAGGCATTAAACACTTCAGCATTTTTGATGTCATGTTATTAGCTCTCATTTCCCACTAAGTGGATGGCCTACATTTTCCCTTTTCTTTCTCTTGTCCCTAATGTACACAAAGAAACTCTTTTTATTCATATTCATAAATGATCTAGAGAAATAAGTAAACAGTTCGCTGGCAAAATATGCAGCTAATACAAAACTGCTCAAAATTGTTATGTCTTTGCCACATATAATTTGTTGTGCCTTAGCCCTTTTTTTGTTCCTTGATGCTTGTACTATTCTTTTATGTCTCCTTAGCAATTCATGCATAGTTCTACTTTTGATAAAAGATTCCTTTGTGATTTTCAGTGCATTAAATAACTCACAAAAAAAGACAATATATATCTTTCTTTCACACTGAAATAGTTAGCAGTTGTGCCTTTAATACTGTTTCCTTGAGAAACTCATAGCCTACCTGAATGCCTTTTCACCTTGGATTTTCTTCCTATTGGACCTTACCTAGTAGTTTTCTGATTTAAGGACTTCCTTTTAGAAGTGCAATGTCCTCATTCTGCTGCTCTCCTCTTAATTTCCTTTGAGTCATGAAAGCTATTAATTCATGATAATTTTCACTCAGACTAACTTCCGCCTTCCGATTCACAACCCGTTCCTCCCTGCTGGTCAAAATCATGTCTCAAATGTCTGTCCCTTGGTTACTTCCTTCCGTTTCTGAAATGAAAAAACTACCTCATAGAAACTAATTTTAATTTTCAATTTCATTTTTCAGACACACTGTTGAGTGCAGTTAAGACGACTTAGAGCCCTGTGTAGACAGCAAAAATTTGACAGAAGCAATCTTTGATCAGCCTGTCACTTCTGGGGAAGATGAATTACTTACAACTGATGTGGGAAAGAACTCCTGTTAGCGCAAGTCATGTCCACAATGAATCACTACAGGCATGATCCATCACCCAGCTTCTGGCCATAATACTGTTTCACTCTCCGGGATTCTGTCCAGCTTCAAAGCCTGATGCATAGTCATCTCCCAGAGGGTCCTCAAGGGCTAGGCCACATCACTATCAGGCACCTCATCAAATCACTGCCCTCCGCCACACATGAAGCCTTGATTTACTAGGTACACCCGGCCAAGCCCGCTGCCCTGCAACTCCCTGCGCACTTATGCCAAAGAGAACCAGACTAAGACACTGCTGAAGCCCTAAACTATGCCAAGTTTAAGAGGCTTCATAGCATTAATGAGGAACAGAAAGGACAAAGAAAACAGAAATGCCAGAGTTTTGCATGTGCATATATGCAGGTAGATAGACAAGGAGGCAACTACGAGCCAGTAGTTTTCGTATGGAGAGGCCCCTCCTAATCTGAGGCTCTAAACCAATGTCCTTGTGCATCAATCGGGCACCGGGGCCAGGCCCCGCTCGCTGCCCTGCTTCCTCTCCATCGCGGGGGCGGCCCCAGCGCCGGAAGGAAGCAAAGCAGCCCACCCAAGCGCCAGCCCCTCTCCCCACCTGGGGAGCCACCGTGCAGCGGCGAGACCCCGCCGGGTCGCGAGGGTGGGCGCAACTGCCGCGCCACTCCCGGCACAATCCCTGCCCCGCCCCAGGGGGCTGCTCCTTCCGCCTTACCCTCCGCCTCGCTGGATCCGCCCCGCTTCGCTCCGCACGAAGAGGCCGCAGCACCACTGCGCCCAGCAGTTCCCCATCGCATAGTGGGGGCAGCCCCGGGCCTCGGCCGTTAACAGCGGCAGCCCGGACTCAACCGGCCTCTCTGCGGCGCGCGCCCCCCAGCAGCGACCTCATGGGGGGAGGGGGAGAAGCTCGGCTCTGCCCAGCGCGGCGGGTAAAGGAGCGCCCGGCCCACGCGCCCCTCATAGCCCCATCGCGTCGCCCCCGGCGCGCCCAGCCCGTCCGAGCCGCCTGCCTGCTGCCACCCCAGTGCCGCATGCGGCCCACGCCGGCCCCGCCCCCGCGGCGGATGCGAGCATGCGTGGTGGGGAAGAGCTCTTCGCGCCTCCCCGCCTGCTCCCGCCCCCTGCCACGCGCGCCTGGCCCCTGGGGACCTTTCACTCGCCGCCTGCCGGATCCACGCCCAGGGACTCCTCCCTTGCGCCCGCTCCCCAGGCTGATCCCCTAGCCCCTCGGCTACTGCAGCCGCCCCCTTCTCTGTCTCCAGTGCCTGCTTAGCCTCCCTCCTGGGCATGGAAGGCCGGGGAAGACTTAAGGTCCTTAGTCTGGCAGGGCAAACTAGCAGTTACTTGACTAGTCGAGTAGGCGATGGAATTTGCATGGACTAGTTGATAAGCACTTCTGCCCACTGGGGCTCTTGTACATTTCAAAGGAGGAACAGGGAAGTGCATATTGACTAGTTGAGTCGTCAATGGAAATTCCATTGACTACACGACTAGTACATTAACTGATATTTAACATCATTAACACATAGGTAAAAATATTAGGACAAGTTTTAGCACAAACACAGAGCCAGGTTCAGTGTGAGACTCCCCAGCTGAACCCCAGGTTCCAAGGAAATGCCATGCTGGGGCCCAGGATAAATTGGAGAGTCCCCAGCTGAACTTGGGCTCCATGGGCACAGCACCACACAGCTGATCGTGGCCTCAACTGTGCTGCGATGCTGCTTTCAAATACCCTCTCTTCCTTCCCCCCCTTTCCTGCATCTATCTGATAGGGGCAGCAAGGAGGGAGGATTGACTAGTCGACTTACTATCTGATAAACATGGGGGGGGGGGGGGGAAGAGATAGGGATGTTAAAAACTAGTCTATCCCACACTGCCAGCCATAGCTCCACCCCAGTGTGCCAACAGTAGGCGTTCTGGGGGCCAAGTGTTGCTGCCACCAGGGCCCACCCTCCTGATCATCCTCCCTCCCCTAGTGCTCCAGGGTTGGAGAGGCTGGGCTGGCCTTCATAGCACACCCTTTGCCTCCTCCATTCCCAGTGCTCCGTTTTGCCCATCCAGCCCCACCTCTCCAGCCAACCTCCTTACTTCCAGCATCTGCCTTATCCTCCCAACCTTCAACTGGTGTCAGCTCTAAGGGGTGGGGTGAATGAAGTGAGTGAGAAGGGGGAAGCTCATGGTGGTTGCCTGGCTTCTAGAGTGGTGGGGAAGATTCAAATCCACAACCCCAGGCTCCAGAGGCAGATATCTTATTCACTAGGTCATGGCTCCTCAACTTTGGAAGCTCCGGGGGCCACAATGATACAGCACAGGCCAAGGGCTGCAACTTAAGTGTGGTTGTATATATATGCAAATAGCTTCTTTCACTCTGACAGGCTGAATACAAAGATTAAGGCAAGACTACACAACACACCAGCCTCATTTAAGTCAGTTCTGCTGATATTAATAAAATGCAATATTTATCCGATTTCCACCGATATGACAGCACTTTTAATGAGCAATGACAGTCCAGGAAATTAACTACTAAAACACATATCAACAGAAGACCATTATATTTACTACTTTTTTGTTTTGGCTTCACAATAACAAATCAAACAAAATCTGCCAAATACAGTACTGGAATTTACTGAAGTATAAGTACAATCAATATGAAGATTGTGTCTGCAAACTTTTCACCAGCTGTTTCACATCAGGCTTGTATTCTGTTATAGCAGCACAGAGACAGTCGGGGCAAATGTCTGTCAGTAAGAGAGGTGCGCAGTTTTGACTTGACAATTCCCATGGAGGAGAATGAACTTTCACAGACATATATAGATCTAAAGCAAGTTAGCATCTTTTTAGCACATTTTAGTAATGCGGGGTACATGTCTTCCTGTACATAAGTCATCTAAAATGTTTCAGGGTCCTCTTCCTTATACCTAGATTTTAGAATACTATTGTTTTACATTTCTATCATCTCTTCTTCAAAAGTGGCCCTCTCAACACCAAAACTCACTGCTGAAGGTGAGACAGCAAATTCAAGAACTGTCTCCAGGGACAGCACAAAATTAATGTACTCTCCCCTAGTTTGACCAGTCAAAGATAGAGTAAGCATTTCTTTGGCATACTTTTTGCCATTGAAAAAACATACCGAGATTATGAGCTATGTTTGAATGATCAGTAGATTCAGCCACTGCCAGACTAAAATAATGAGTGCTTTCAATGTCTTTTAGCAATTTAGAAAACAGATTGCCTGAAATGTTTTCAATTCATCTTACTACAGTTGAATCAGACTGCAACTGTTTTGATATTTAACTATATTTTCTTTGTTTTTAAATTCTGCAAAAAGTGATTCGCTGCAGTCCAAGAAAAACTGCTTCATCAATTCACCTTCAATAAAAGGTCTTTTTGATTTAGCTATGTGCCAAGCCATTTTGAAGGAGGCTTCTGTAACTTGAGTATGGTAACCTTCCAGTAAGCAATGTATCATAGGGTACGTCAACACTTGCTCCCTAGTTCGAACTAGGGATGCAAATGTAGGCGACCGAAATTGCTAAAAATACTCCTCATTTTTTGAGGAGTAATGTTAGTTCAAACCAAGGGGTTTGGTTTGAACTAACGCATCCCGGTGCGCACTTTCACTTTCGAAACAGCTGTTGAGCGGAGTAACGTGCCGGTGAGATCATGCTAATGAAGCGCAGGATATTTAAATCCTTGCTTCATTAGCAATTTCAGTCACCTACATTTGCATCCCTAGTTCGAACTAGGGAGCAAGTGTAGATGTACCCTTAGTTTTTCTTAAATTGCTGTCAGGTGGATACAACAAGTCTTAGAACTCAGGGTGACAAGATTCATGGTGCTGTTGCAAGTTTGTTTTCTTTAATGCAGCAATAGTCTTTTGACAAAGACAACACATGCGTTTTCCATTTATCTCTGCAAAAGCAAAATTCCATCTCCCAATTGGGGTTGAAAACCCTGTGTTCATCTAACAAACATCTCTTCTTTGTTGCCATTTTTAATGCTTTTTATTAAAAAGAGAATTGTATATCAGTGTTTTGGGTGTTTAGCTTGAAGCTTCAGCTTGTGCATTTCTTGGAGGGATTTTACTGTAAAAAGAAAAGTTTCCAAACCAGAGGGTTCCAACCTGTGGCGGATGGGGACCTGGGTGAGTCAGGCCAGACACGAGAGGCAAAAAAGGACAGGTGCCCGAGAGCCCCATCCTGGATTTCCAGAAGGGCTGATATCCCCACATGAGAGTCCGTCGCTCAGTGCAGGATGGAGGCAGGGCTGCCCGGCTGCGGCGCCGGACCCAGATGTGGCCAGTGTGAGCCAGTCAGCACCTCTCAGGCTCTGCGCACAAGGCTAGGCAGCCAGCACTTCTCACAATGTCTTGTTGCTCACGGCACCTCCTCGGGAGCTAAAAAAGCCAACACCTTGAATCCATCTGTTCCAGCCAGCCTGTCCGCTAGTGTCTTTCAGTGCTCACCCTGTCTGGGAGACATTGCAGAGTGTGTTCCCAGTGGAGGCCATGTTCAAAGGATCCCTTGTGGGTTGCATGTTGAGCCCCACATAAACACAGACTGCACCAGGCGCTGCAAACAAACATGCAGCCTGCAGGCTGTGTGTTGAATAGCCCTGCGCTGGGCCGGCTGCAAACAAACATGCAGCCTGTAGGCTGTGTGTTGAGTAGCCCTGCGCTGGGCCCCTGGAGGACCCACTTCACCTCCCTTCCTTCAGCAGTTTTCCTTATTCTCCCTACCTTCAGCCCATGCCAACTGCAACCTTGGACTAGCTGCTGGCAGCTGCCTAGCTGCTCCCAGGGCTGGAGGGAGGGATTTGAACCCACAACCCCAGACTCCGGAGGCTGATCCCTTATCCAATGGAGGAACCGAACCGAACCAAACCATACTGAACCGACCCAATCCCTCTACCTCCAGCTGCTGCTTTATCCTCCCTACCTTACCCCCCCAACCTGTGTCTTGAGTCCATCATACACCCAAATCCCCTGCCCTGAGCCCCTCATACGCTCCAACCCAGACTCCTGTACCCCCCTCCCCATCCCAACTCCCTGACATAGGATTGTTACAAGACAGCCTGAATGTGTGCATAAAGTTGGATTTGACCAATTATGATATAAATTTCAAAGAAATGTGCGAAAAGCAGCAGAAGTCCCATTAAATAAAGCCCGTGAGTACAATGTTTCATGTATGCTATTATTAATCATGTCAAGTAACAGTATTAAGTTGTATATTTTCAGGCATGCAAATAGGCATTCTTATATGACTCTTTGTTGACCACTTGATCTGAATTTTGATGTAGTTTGGCTCTTTGGTTTGAAAAGATTGCTGACCCCTGGTCTAGAATGCCAGTGAGCCAACAGTCACAGAGAAGTGTTTTTGGCAGGCAGAACAGTACCTTTTGTATTTTTTTCCTGATGCCCCACACTACATACAGCACTTGATATTTTCTGCTACTAATTAACTTTTAGTGTTGCAGGGCATGCTAAGTACATCCACAAAATGGACTTTTCAAATCAGGCTGGAAATATGGAATGATAGTTAACATGTACTCTAGCATTTGATTAATTTGAATGGTTGTTCTCTTTAGCAGAAGTGTTTAAGAAGGATTATCTGCTTGCCAAGTTACCTCTGTCAACTCTACCAAGCAGAGAGAGAATTTGAGAAAAATAACTTGCTACTATAATGATGAGTAGAAGGTGGGAGGAATATAAAAATAATGACAACTGGTCCTTGATGTTTTTTCTCTTAGATATGAGTCAGCCTTGAAGGTATATTACAGTGATAGCACACACACAATGAGAAGAGAAGAGAAGATAAAGCAATAAAAATAAACCATAAATGAATTAGATAAGATGAGACATCAGCATGACAAGAGAATTGTGTGGTAAGTTTCAGAAACGATTGTTGGAATTTATCTTCATGATGATATTTTCTATGGACAGAATTTTAGCATAGCATAAATTAATCCTCTAGAGAGAATTTTAGTAATAACTCAAAACTGACAGGCAGATGTAAATTGTAACCAGTCCTGAGAAAAC